AAAAATTGAAATAAAAGTAAGCATTAAATATTTAAATGTCTAGTACAACAACAAAAATAGGAAGATAAATTGTCCAGCACATGAAATTTCAACTATTCAATAGAAGGAATGATAGGATTAGCTTCTTCAATGGTTTGTCTTTGAGTTTCTATATCATCTTCAATAAATATTATAGCTTCTAATTTAGGCTCATCAAGTTAAAGATTAGCAATTTATAATATTCCCATATCCTCAAGAGATTTAAATTCATCTCCAGCAACATCCCACATTCTGTTGTCTCCTTCCATATAAGTTGCAGTTTTCCTTGAGAGAAGTCGAAGGTTTGTATGCACATAAACTAAATCTTCAGCCCGTTGTGGAGTAATTTTATTTCTCTTCATTTATTGGATGAACAAGTATGTGCTCCAATTTCTTTCACAACAAGATGAGTATGCAAAACTTGGTCAAGCAATTGTATGCAGATTGTTGAAGTAGAGGTGCTGAAGCTCCGTTGTTAATCCACCACATTTTCGGATCAATTCTCAACTTACGTGCAATGACTCTTGGTCATCGAAGTCCTCTAAATAACCAAAAAATTTAGCAAGCTCAATATTGATACTTCTTCTGTCCTCATTTGAAAAATAACGCTTCAAACATGTCTTCCTCATATTTGACAATTTCTAAATCTTTCTGTTGGAGAACTTCCTTGCAGGATCCTCTTGAAGCCATTCTTTAGTTGAATATCCTTCAATAAATATTTAAAATGAAATAATGAAAAAAAATATTGAAAATTACTAAACAACAAATAAATATGAATAATAATGAAAAATGTTAAAATATGGGATTTAGTAGTGAGCCAAGCAATGTTAAAGGTATATACTTATTGCCCATCCTATGCTTCTCTAGAATTAACATAAATACATCCCAGAAGCTCTGGAAGTCTTCATGAAGTGCTTCTCTTCATGTCTATATATTAATTTTATTTACGTTTGGCAGCATTGACCCACATCTCATAATTGAGATGTAAACCAGACTTATTCCGTGATCACTACTCTCACGTAATCTCATAAATGGATTGTGAAATTTATGATTATTCAATCTCATTCCCACCATCAATCATTCTAAAAGCTTTCTCCTTATATATATCTAGCCTTTCCAACATTGCTCCTAAACGGATCATTTGTCACTGATCACCATAGCTTGAAGACATTTTTTTTTTTTCTTGAATCTTCTCAACATCACTATAACTGAGATAAACAAGTTCAACAACTGCAGGCATCTTCAAATTAGAGAAACATCTAAACATAGAGAGTCTCATGGAGTGATTCATTAAAAATTCCTAATTACAAACTGCATATCCAGCAAAGCTGTTATCAATGACATTCATTGTAGGTGATTTCGTTTGCCTCGGTATTCTTAGCTGCATAAATGTTCTTCAAGGCAAGATTAAGCGTATGCACAACAGATGTGTATCCAGAAAATATGAGGATAGGCTTGCTCTAAATATAGACTTGCATGCTTACAAACAGGTGCAGTTATCAGTAATAAACCGGGATGATGTTTGAAGGCCCCCACCATCATGATAACTTCTTTGATTAAATTAAAAATAAAGAACTTATCCTTGCACTGTCCATCACAGTTTACAGCTTTGATAAACATATGATAACTCTCTGTTACAAGCCATGAAGTGATAAGTGGTCTTCTTTGTGGATCTGTCCACCCATCCACAAACCAAAGTAACTTCCTTTTCCTTCCAAACTCCTATGGTATGGCTTGAAAACTTCTCAATATTATCCCTCTCTCTTTTGCTAAAACTCGGTTGTGATAGTGGACAGATCCACAAAGAGAGAGGGATATTATTGAGAAGTTGCTCAAGCCTACTAGAGGAGTTTGGAAGGAAAAATGAGTTACTTTGGTCGGTTTGTGATTGGTGGATGGATCCACAAAGAAGACCACTTATCACTTCATGGCTGAGACAGAGAGTTACTTTGGTCGGTTTGTGATGGGTGGATAGATCCACAGAGAAGACTTTTTACAAAACGGCGCTTACCAACTTTTAAATATAAAAGCACGCTAAGTTGCGTTCCATCGAATCGAGAAGAAAGATACAATTGGATGGGCACTTGCGGGGAGGAGTAAGAAGCCGAGACGAAAGGAGGACAAGCTCGCAAGCTTTCCTAGAAGAAGAAGGAGGAAAGAAAGGCATAGCTCGCAAGCTATCCACAAAACTCATAGGTTTTCTTCCAAAAATTATCACCATAAACTCTCTCTAATATTACAAAATAACATTATATTATATTTATATAATAATAATATATATATATATATAGGATAAAAGGAGTAGCCAAACAGCCACCATAAAAGCATTAATTAAGCTAATTAAAATAGGAGAATTTGGAAGGCCAGCAGCTGTCCAGAAACTGCACCCATACAGCCCTGTATTCATTCCAAAATAGGACCCAAATAGCCATGCATTCATTCCAAAACAGCTCCCAAACAGCTACACAAAAACTAGGGAAAAAGCAACCACGAAACAACAGCAGGGGAGGCGGAACAACACCAAAAAAGGCAGCACAGAGAACCGGGCAAAGCAGCCACGGGATAAGCAGCCAGGGAAGAAACGAAAAAGGCAGCACAAGATCTGGAACCAGCACCAATCAAAGGGAGAAGGAACAGCTCACGGGAAACAGCACCAGGGGAGAACCAAAGGGGCATCACAGAAATCAGAACCAGCAGCAAGGGGAGCCGAACCAGGAGGGAAAATCGAAGAGACCAAGGGAAGGGGAAGGGGAGTTAAGTGGGGAAACCAAAGAGCCTTTAGAGAGGGGAGTAAAGGAGGGAGAATGAATCTAATTTGGCATTAAATACACAATAATGAGCTGATTAAGAAGTAGAAGCTCATTAATGAGCTGACTCTAGTAGAAACTTACAAAATTTTCAACTCAACTTATTTTGACCCCCCCTTGCCCACATCAATTCTCCTCCGATTGAAAATGCTCATCTTTCGAGGAGGCTGCTTTAATTTTCTTCCGACAAGGCGAAGGAGGTGCATCAAGCTCTTGAATCTTTGCTTCATATTTCTTCAGGATCATCTCACGTTCTTGCCTAAACTGTTCTTGCAGACGCTTCTTTTTCTTCAAATAGTTTTCCGTACTCATATGCAATTTCATATGTAGTTTGAATAGCTCATTATGTAGGGGATCTGTCGAACTTCCTTCCGTCGGAACCCATCTATCCATTGGAATGTGGACTTTAGAAGTTTCTGGATTGCATTCTTCCACAACTGACTCAATTTTTTGTGATTTTTCATTTTTTCTAAACACTTAAGAAAAAGACACGAAACAACCTAGGAAGACTCACAAACCTAGGTTCTTATACCAAATTGATGCAGACAAAAATTAGGACAAGCCCGTAATTACACGAACACTATAAACAAATTAGGACACCTTCCAAAATACCACAAAATACAACCATTAAACGAAGTCACATCATCACTTTTATAACATAAAAGACTTACAAAACGACACTTACAAACTTTTAAATAAAAGCTCCTAAAGTTGCATTTCCATGAATCGAGAAGAAAGATACAATTGAAGTGGACACTTGCGGGGAGAAGAAGGAGATAAGAAGCCGAGACGAAGGAGGACAAGCTCGCAAGCTTTCCTAGAAGGAGAGAAAATGCATAGTTCGCAAGCTATCCAAAAAACTCGCAGGTTTAGTTCCAAAAATCAGCACACATAACACTCTCATAACATATTTCATATTTATAAAAGAAAATGGGGCAGCCAAAGAGTCCAATTATCTCCCATTAAATTCAAGTAAATGGAAGGCTAAAAGTCAGCCCAAAACAACACTTGAAAAGTCACAAAAGGGGACATGCATTCATTCCAAAATAGCTCCCAAACAACCATAAAAAACCAGAATTTATTCCATATTCAGCACTCGAAAAGGCAACACAGAGAACCGGGTAAAGCAGCCACGGGACCAGCACCTGGGGAGAAACCGAAGGGGCAACACAGGGGATCGAAACTAGCACCCAGCAAGGGGGAAGGAAGCAGCCACGGAAAACAGCACCAAGAAGAAACCGAGAAGACATAAATAAGGAGAAAAGGCAAGGAACCAACTCCACATAATGAGCTAACATACATAATACCTTTTCATATTAATGAGCTAAACTTTAGCTCAAGCAATAATGAGCTAGAACTAAGTAGCTCCCAAGAATTTAGCTCAAAACCAAAGCAGCCATGACCCAACCCGAGAGGCAACCAACAGCCGAAAGACCAAAAGAACCCAAGATGTTTAGACCCCCCCTTGCCTACATCAATTTCTTTATCAGATATTGTCAGCCACCTTTATGTTTAGTGTGTAATATATTACAAGTTTAAACATCTTTATTTTGGTCAGGTAAGCTATATTACATATTGAAATTATTAAGTTTACTTCCATTATTTTGTTCATTTTATTTCATGTATACGTAAGCCTCTGTTTGATGTGATTCCAAGTAAATGTTGAAAATGGTCCCTAGACTTTTATTTCTATTTTAATTGCAGGCTTTTCTAGGTTTTTAATTTGTCCCTCAACTTATAAGATTTAAACCAATTTGATCTTATTTTCTACTTTTTTGGGTGGAGGTAAGCTTTCCATGAGAGGGCATTTTGGACCTTTTAGGGTCAATCTCATTTGAGCTGATATTAAGTAGTGAGTTTGATCCTAAATATTTCATAACGCCTTAATGAAAACTGAAAAGCTTATCTCGCACCGATTTCTATTTAAAAAATGGCAAAATTGATTGCTGGACCAATTTGGTTATAATTCGTTTAGTTGAGGGGCTAAATTGAACACTTAGGAAAGCCTGTGATTCAAATGAACTATCTAAAAAGTTTACTCTTGTGAAATTCTTGTGAAAATGTTCCTATGGCTCATGTACAAAAAACTCCGCTGATAATATTTCTAGGATTGTTAGTTATTTTGGGCCCTTCATATTTTTTCAACTTTCATATTTATTCTTCTCATCTCAACAGTTCGTCACGGCTGTACATTTTTCAAGGTCCATCTGAGCTAATGCCACCTGTAAGACTGAAAATTCTCTTATATTTTTTAATTGAATTAGTCTAGTTGGTTTAGTTGATACAGAAGAGATATTTGCAAACTATTTACTTTTTCTGTTTAGTTAAGCTTCTTAGACGTATTGTAATTTTAAGCAGTAATCCTTAGTAGTTACTGCATATACATAGGTCCCGTTACATTGTGAGGCCTACTTTCTGAAACCTTCATCATCCTTTATTGTTGTAATCTATACCTTTTACAACAATTCTTCTCATTCAGTAGCTACTAAGAGCTACCTAGGATGGTGACGGTTTGCAAATAATTTATAAATTTGAATACTAAGAATTATGAAGGTTTCATAAATCAAATGCTACTAAGGATGATGCAAATATTTAATAATTCTAAAATAGGTATCTATTTTGTGTTAGTCTTTAGTTTTTTATGGTGTAAAATAAAAAATTTGTATTACCGGTCATCTATAGCTTTTTCTTTCTATGCTTAGAGAATTATCCTATCTTTACTTTATTTTTGTGATTACCTTGGAAGTAGAACTTAGCATGGTTGTCTAATTAATCAAGAGGATTATTAAATCAATTCATGCCTTAACTATTGAAATTAGGCTTAATCAGTGTTTGCTTGATGATGCAAGCAAAACTAGAGTAAAGAGACAATTGGAGAACACCAGGACAAGACTTAAATCAAACTCGATTCATATGTAGCTTGCAAACATCCAAACAAACTTAGGAGAAACAAAAGTCAAATCGAACAAAACAAAATAAAAACATAAAAACGCTATTCTCAGTAAAACCGTCTAGCGGTCTCCTCACATGCAACGAAAGTAGGAAATTTAAGAAAATTGTGCTTAGGCTTGCAAACCAAGGGTCCACCACTGCAAAAGAGTTCAACGTCCTTTCTAAACTCCTCCAGCAAATGTCTCCAAATTTTAGCCAACATACACTTACAAAGCTCAAGAAGAAGGATACAAGTGGAGTGAAACTTGCGTAGAGAAGAAGAAATTAAAAGCCAAGATGAAATAGAGAGGAGGAAAGGAAGGAACAAGCTCTCAAGCTTTTCCAAGAAGAAACCCTCAGGTTTTTGCAGAGACTTTGCTCATAATTTTCAACAGCCTTTTTCATGCCAAAACATCTTATTTTTATAGGCAAAAGAAGGTAAACAAATAGCCATAGCACCTCCAACTAAATCCAATAAGAATTAGGGAAATGAAAGGCCAAAAGTCACCAAGAAGAAGGTCAAAAGACAGCAAAAACTGCAGCAGAAATTCTGCACAGAAAAACAGAGAAAACTCACGGAATTCCCCCCCAAACAGCCACGGGAAACTAGCCAGCAAGGGACCCGAAAAGCCAGCACAGGAGGTAAAGCATCAGATCACGGGAAACCAGCCAGCAAGGGGCCCGAAAAGCCAGCACAGGAGACAAAGGGGCAGATCTCGGGGAACCAACCAGCAAGGGGAATCCGAGAAGACAAAGAAAGAAGAAAAGGCACAAGTCCACTCCATTGAGCTCCTCAATAATGAGCTTGAAACAAAAGCATACATTTTTGATTTAATGAGCTGGGAAGTGCATTTAAACTCCAATCATTGAGTTAAACTTCAGCTCAACATTTATGAGCTAACACCAAGTAGAATTCCAGCATTTTAAGCTCAATACCAAGCAACCAAGGCCCAACCGAGAGCAGCAACCTCACCAAACTGAAATTAGCAAGCAGCCTATGGATGAAATGGACCCAAGAGCAAGCAAACCCAAGGCTTGCCATGCCTAGCACATTCCTACCATGATCATTGGAAGCCCAACCATCATAGGATAGCTTAAAAAACATAAAACACAACTAATATTGTTCAAAATACATTAAAACAAAAATAAACTAAAAATATTGAATGCATCAATTCCCCCCTGGTGGGAAAATCTCATCTCCTGATGAGAAAGCTTCCACAATTCGTTTATAAAGCTTCGGATGATACTTTTCAAGTTCTTTTGCACCCATCCAAGTACAATCCGTCAAAGGGCGATTTTTCCATTTTGCTAAGAACTTCATGTGTTCACCATGCCGAGTTTTAGTAGTTCTGACATCCATAATATCTTCAACCTGCTCATCATAACTCAATACAGATGTGGATAGTGGTAAAGTTTCAAGTTCCACATGATCGTCAGTATTTCCTTCGTATAAAGAAAGATCAGAAACATTAAACATAGGAGAAGTGCCAACAATAGAAGGAAGATATAAAAGATAAGCATTTGAGCCCAATTTTTTTAGAACACGAAATGACCCAAATTTCTTGCTGCTTAATTTCCCAAAAGTACCAACAGGAAATCATTGGCGACGAAAGTAAGCCTTAACCAAATCTCCTTCTTTGAAATAAACCTCTCTACGATGTTTGTCAGCATCAGTTTTGTACTTCACATTAGCCATTTGGAGTTTTTCAAGAACTTGCTTTTGGATAATTTTAATATAGTCAAAGGTTTCAGAAGCTTCAGCACTATTTTTATTTGGCAAAGGCAAACAGTTTCTATCTAAAATGTGAGGTATAGGCAGGCCATATATTAAAGCTTCTATGAGGTGGCACTCTCCCTGACTTTGCATCGATGTATTCCTTTGAGTTTGGGCAATTGGTTATCTAATGTTCTAGCCGTTCACATATATAGCAAACATTGGAGCCCATAAGTCATTCTCCCCGTTGTATTCTCATACACTTAAGGCAAGTTTCCATAGCACTGTTGGCAATCCCACGAGTAATGAAATTGAGCATTTTCCTAATAAGAACTTCTTGAGTATTGCATGCATCTTTCTCATTTTTCTTTCTCTTATGTAGATTCTTTCGTTTTTGAGCAATTCGGAAAACAATTTCATCATTCTAATTAATCATAGGGACTTGCGCCTATGGGAGAACTTGATGCAGATCTTAAAGCCCTTATAAAATGAGTGTGAAATATCTTGGTAGTGTCTTAACCTATAATCTAATTTGTTTTTGAATAATTGATCTAAAAAATAGAAAACTCTCTCAGTAGAGTCAGACACGAATATTTGGAGTCCATGAATTTCTAATGCTAAGTAAAATTTGGGTGTTTTAGGCAATTGCACTAAAGCCAGACACTGCAATCATTATTTGAATTGTGTTTGAAATTTTAATTGAGGGTTATGGTGCATGCAAGACCCGCCATTTGAGCCCATGTCTTACACGAGAGATTATTCTTAGAAGGTAGATCTTGAAGTCATCTCAATTTCATTTATTTACCCTGGGTTTATGTCATGCAAGTGACAATTATCAAATTAGAAATTAGCAACACAATTCTTGTTTGAGCGATTTTATTTATTGACAGTAAGTTGCAATCTTGGTTAGGCATTGAAAGCACATAATCAAGTGTTAGATATTTTGAGAGAATGATATAACCTATGCTGACTACTTTTGATGGTGACCCATCTGCAATTCAGACATTATTATTTTCATGGCATGAGCTGTAATTACCAAAGCTTTTTATTATCTGTTGTCATGTGAATTGATGCTTTTGAGTTTGTTATCCATAGAGTAGTTTCTTATCATTTGCAATCAGTGCATTTAAGAATTTACTTTTTTGAACAACCAAAATTATTTCATTGATGTTCTGAAATAAAGTTTTTTTGGGAGATTAGTTATCTTGTTTGTTATCTAGATGGATACAAAAGGAATGAGTGAGCTGCTGAGATTTGGCTTTGTTGTTCGTCTCCTTTTGAAGTTTTATGTCTAGTATTTCATCATAAAGCTTATGTTTTGCGGTTGATTTTTAGTGTTGGAGTTGCCAGTTTCTTGACCCTTAAGCATGTTCATGGCAGATGTTACCAATTTCTTTCCAGGAGGATCCTTTATATATGTTTTTTTGGCTTTTATTAGATGAAGAATGGTTTTCAGTGCTGGTGAAGGACTCATCAGTTTGGAGAAGAGATTCCAAATTGAAGAAGCCATCAGCCTTACAATGAGTAAAACCTTAATATTTTTAATACCATCTGAAAAATTAAAATGAGAAGAGAGTAGATTTTGAGAAAATGTACAATTGCATTTTTTTTTCTTGTTCTAGGTATAAAAATAAGATGAGAAGTTGTGCACATATTTAGAGAAGTGAAATAAATCTAAAAATTAAATTTTTAATTATGGAATTTGTTGGAGAATTTTTGTAGTCCTCAAACGGATGACATATTTTATGATTGAGTATGATATAAGAATGATGATATTACCCCGAAGGGTAAAAAATATCACTTCCTTATGGATTCAATGATAAAATTTACAATTTAATAGAGATTCCCCCATTCAATATTTTGGTTGAATGAGATTTATCTATTTTTGGGGTACAGACGCCCCATAGGGACAAGCCCCTATGGTTAATTACATCCCAAGCTTTGGCTTGAAAAGACTTTTGATTAAACTAGTGATTTTCTTTCTTTTTGAAGTCATTTAAATATTGGTTAAAGTTTGATTTTTGAAAATCTGTGAAAGTCTTATTTATAGGGTTTTGACCTTTAGGAATTTCAAGGATGAATGAGACTAACTTGAGATTATATTTCTTGGAATGAAGGCCAAATGGAAGGAATGTAGGATTACTTGATTCTGAGGGAGACTCAGAGGTACTCAGACTATCCTATATTGGGCTATATATTTTAGAAATCTAATTTTTGTTTAAGTTGATCATTTTGATTAGAAAGGTGGGCTTATATTCCAATAACATATGTTGGAGGAATTGCACGAAAGGTGAGGGCTTATAGGGTGATTTGGAATCAACCAATGCCTCGGATCCTAAAACTAAGGTGAGGACTACCGAGAGATAGTGGCTCGAACCTAAGTTTAATGGAAAGAAAAAGGACTTATAAGCTATACCTCACATGAGGTATAACCTGCTCGACTTCTGGATTTACTGTCATGCCTGGAAAGGACTATCAGCTTAACCCACCTAAACGCTTTTAAAACTATGTCGTTCGGTCTTAATGCAAATGTAGAGTGGAGGGTTGTTTTTATTTAGGAAGTAGGGTTTATAACTTAG